ATGCCCTTCTTGTCTCCCATATTCTTGAATATAAAGGAGTGAATGTTGAAGGTGAACAAGCAGTTAGAACAAACAACTTAAAAGGCATGTTGGACAGTACATTGATTCACCTCCAAATGGTGCGAGTCAATGATATTTATGTTCACAAAGATGACGTTCCAAATCAAGGGGATGCTAATGAAGATTCTGATGAAGATATGCCTCCAGCTGCTGAGTTTCCCTCTGACCAAATCCAAAGTGTTGGAACTTCCTCTACTCATCATGAAACCCGACAATCCATGGAAGACATGTTATCTGACATGAATCAGAGGATGCAGTCATTCTTCACTCTCTCTGGAGTACGGCATGAGGAAATAATTCGTCGTATATCTGATATAGATGATAAAGTGTGTCGTTTAGAAAATAGATTTGATGCACATTTTAATGATGATGATAGTGAAGAATTTTAAATTTTGTTGATTATTTTCTTATTTTTCTCTTGTTATTGTAATAAATGATTGTTTCCGCAATAAAATATGATGTTTTGTTATTGCTTTGATTGAGGGGGGGTTATCTCCAACTTATGCATATTTTGAGGGGGAGCTCTTATGATTGTTATTGTAGAGTTCTTTTTTATTATAATCAAAATAGGGGGAGAAATATTTAAAGCCTCTTATGAATTGCATTTAAATATTATCTGGTATGTTTGATGTGTTTGTTAGTATGACAGATAAAACATGTTATTACAAGGGCTTTAAAAGATAATTTTGATCATCATCAAAAAGGGGGAGATTGTTGAACATTCAAGGACTTGATGTTGCACTTGATGAACATGAAGATTGTTGATTTTGATGATGATTCAAGAACTCAAAGACTTAGTGTGTTGAAGATTTGTTTTGTATTGTAATAACTCTGTTTTAATTAGATTGAGTCTGGAATATTAGAGTTTAAGATAGCCGGTACATAGTCTGCACCTTAGAAGCTTCAAAAAGCTCAAATTTATCATCCAGGCTCGGCTTTAATCGATTATATAGGGAAATAATCGATTAAAATAGTGAGAAAAACCATTTTCTGTATCAACTCACTGCTTTAATCGATTAAATCTCCAGATAATCGATTATCAGGTCTGGTAATCGATTAAAACCCCTTTTAATCGATTAAAACAGAGAGGTTTTGGGTTCTGTTGATTTTGGCTCTGTTTTAATCGATTATAACTTCATTTAATCGATTATTTCAGTCTGTTTTTTATTTTAAACTTCAAATCAACCCTATTTTCGAAAACCCTATTTCCAAGAACCCTAATTCTGAAATTCCCAATTTCCAAACCCTAATTTCTCTACTTAAACTCTTCTATGGCACTCAGAAAAGGGAACAACATTTTCCATACAAAAGTTAAGTGTTGTGAGTGCCAGAGAACTGTTTGTTGCAAGGAAAGGGGGATTTTGGAACCTGGTGTGGGCTAGAAGCGATAAGAATCACTAAGTGGAGTTCTTAGTGGATTGTGTGTTGTGTCGTCTCTAGGGAAAGCTATTCATCATCTCTTGTGGATTTCAAGAGAGGTGTTTTCGTATCTTTATCTTCTCAATTGTAATTTGTTTGTAACAACTTGTTTATAGTGACAGCGTTAATCCTCTGTTGAGTGATTAGCAACTGGACGTAGGGTCTTTTGATCCGAACCAGTATAAATCTCCTGTGTAAGATTTCTATCCCTTCTCTATTTACATTTACACAGTTTTTAATCGGTAAAATTTGGGGAAAAATTTTGAAAACCTAATTTTTATTAAGAAACCAATTCACCCCCCTCTTGGTTTTTGTCCGACCACACGATCATTCCGCTGTGCGATTCTAACAGGAGGGTCTGATGGAGGACCATTTGGGTCATAACACATTGGACCTTGGTTGCAACTTTGGAGAGCTATCACGTGTATAAACACTTGAAGAAAGCCAAATTTAGAGGAGATGAGACTTGAAGGAAGGACAAGGTTCAATTCTTGACTACAACAAAAAGGGAATACATCATTTTAGCTTCTCAAATTAGGCAAAAACACTCTAAACACTCAAGGAGGTCCAAGGTTCAACTCTTGGTTGCAACATTTGAGAGTTTTTTGGTATATAAACTCATAAATGTAATTAAAAGTGGTCTAGGTGGGACTTCAAGCTAGGAACTTTGGCCATCACTTGTATAAGGCAAAATTAGTCCCACATTCCTTAGGTGAGTAAGTGAATGAGAGGGGAACAACTATATATATGACCCTTTGTATAGCTTTTTGAATCACATTTGAATGAAGTCAAAACTTGTGTATGGAACTTGCATATTTTGCTTGTACCTCGAATTAACTTGCCAAGTATCTTTGGAGATTTCTTTCTCCTATTCTCCTAACAAAGAACCTTCCTTGGAGGAGTTAGTACCAAGTTTCTTTAGAAACTTAACTTGGGAAAAAATTTTGGTTCACCTTGGGTGCTCAAGGTGTGAGGGTTTCGGCGTCATCCATGGTGGAAGGAGGGAGATTATTTCCATCACCTCTATTCTCCAATCAATCTAATCTTTCATGGAGCTCATTATTATGTCGTATCATTAATCCTTCCAAATGTTGTATCAATACTCTCATTTGGACTAGACTAAATCGCGTTCCTTAATTGTAATTTTCCTCCTCTGCCATCACAACAAATAGATCAAAAACAACAATAAAAAAAATGTTGCAACCTCACCACACTCAAGTGTATCACACAATTATGGCTTTTCCTCTAATAAAAACACTCTTGCCTTTTACCACTCAAATTCTCCTTAGGTTCTTAGGCAATTCAAGAGATTATGGCCACAACAAAGAACAATCCTCCAATATGTGTGCATAGTAAGGCTATGAAGAGAAGAAAGGGTAACAATTCATAAAAGTAAAGGGGTAAAAGAAAAATTGGTAAAAAAGAAAATTAGCAACAATCCTTCAAGATCACTGATATATTACCTTATAATAAATTGTTCAAAAGCATGAATCATTCAGCCTAATTTTTTTTTTATCACGTTCAACCAAATTATAAAATATTGTAACTTTATTTATTTATTTATTTTAATTTTCACAAAGGCCTTTTTTTGAAATGATTCAGCACAATCACAAATAATATAAACAAAATAAGGTAATCACTAAGTAAAAAGAGAACAAAGGAAAGATGTTACCAATTTGACGTTCAAACCCTTAAACCGGAGCTCTGATACCAAATGATATAAACCTCATTTGCACAAGGGTTGACTTAGGATCTTTAGGGTTAAAACCTTGTAAAAAATTTAGGAAATTAGTGAGAATGTGGATTAGAAAGTGGTGAAAGTTTCAGGGTTGTGCATAATTTTATAAACATCGATATCTCAAGCTATAAAACTCTTATTGAGGCGATTCAAAAATGAGGTGAAAGTTCTCATTCTAAATTTCAATTTAGGCTAAAAAAATACTCAATTTAGACAAGTAGAACAAAAATTATGACCACTAAATAAATTTGGGCAGAATTGATTTTTCTGAGTTCTAGTGAAGAAAAGACAAGAGATGAATGTGAAAGGTTGAAGGAAAGAATCACTCTTCCCAAGGGAGGCAACTCAAAAAGGATGTGAAAGTCCTTTGATACAGCCAAGGGTTCTTGAATTACTCAAAAACTTAGGAGAATCACTCTCACCAAGATAAAAGAGCTAAACTCTAATATTTCTGAATAAAACTCAACTTCTATTTTTGATAAAAATGGTTCAGCTTATATAGAAGCTTTGTCATCATAGTTACAAAGAATCAATAAAGAAAAATAAATCCTAATAATGATTCATTAATCTAGGAATTAAAAACTACTTAATGGAGGCAAATAAATGCTAATAATGATCCATTAATCTAGGAATTGAAAACTACTTAATGGAGACAAATAAATGCTAATAATGATCTATTAACCTAGGAATTGAAAACTAATTAATGGTTGATTGTAACTGAAATTGTGGCAACCAAAAGTCAACCAACTATGCACCCTCTTGGTCTTCTAAAGGCTAATACCTAAGTTTCCAATTGGGGTCTTATTACAATTTGAAACAAAACCAAACTAAAGCTTATTAATTTATTAACCCAAACATGATTTGGTCAGCCAATTTTACAAAGGATTGGGACATTATTTGAACAAATTTAAAGACTTAAACAAAGTGACGCATTAGTCTTCCTCCATTTGAGCCATGATGCAACTCACAACTTTGTTCTTTTCTCCTTGAAATGTGGGCATGTATTTAAATAATATGGACAATACTTGTTGAAGAGTTTCCTTTGTTTTCCTTACTCTAGTCCTTGTCATAGGTCCTTCAAGTCTTTCAAGTGGATCCTTACACTTGTTCATGATCATGTCCCCATCACGGGGGTTCTTCTTCCGCAATCTCCTTTAAATCTTTCCTCTCACTTTTCTTCAAATCGGTGGATACAAACACAAAAAATTCACACTCTATGTGATAGTACATCAGCGGATCCAAACACATGCCTAGTGACATGTTGACTAGTTATATATAATGTTAACCACTCGATGTAGTGTTTACTAGCTAACTATTATCGGCTCATCTAACAAAGTGTTAACCATTAGGTATAACATTAACCATTTGAAGCATATAAATCCATCTAATGAGGTGTTGACTAACTAATAAAGAATTGATAAACTAATATTCAACTAGTGTAAAACAAGATTGAGTAATTTAAAAGAATATTAAGTAATTAAGTACATTTAAATAATTTGCTTAAAATCATTCAAAATTATTTTCAAAAAAATCAAATATCCAAATGCATATCTATTTAAAGAAATATTTCTAAGTCAAATAATAAAGTTAAATTTGATTATATATGATTGAATGAATTAGAAATATATGGAACAAAAAATATAATTGATATATAATATTGTGAATATGATTTAAAATTAATTGAAGAGATTATACGTGAAACATTGATTTTGTACAATGGCAAGAATAATATAGTAAAATAAATATACTATATTTTGTATTGCATAATGTTATTCTTTGACAGGAATCATAACTGAAGATCAAGAACTTATCCTACAAAATAAGAATTTGAATAAAACCAAAGACCTCACAATTGAAGAAATTGAGTTAACGTGAAGATTTACCAAAGAAATATTAATTATATGTGAAAATAAAGAATATCAAAGTATATCAATATATATTAATATATAGCAAGATTAATTCTCAAGATAAGATAATTATGTTAGGATCGAGCGCTTACCACTAGGCCAAAAGCTATAGCCATTAGTCGGAGCGCAACTCTTTTTACTTTAACGACCCAAGCGCCACGATTCAATTGTGACTCGGCCCACCGACCTTCGTCACAGGACAATTGATGCTACTGCAACAATCTCCCCCTCAGCAATTGTCCTACAAGGTATCCCACTCTTGGATTGTGACTTGGCCCACCGGCCTACGCCACGGGACAATTGTGCAACCTGCAACAATCTCCCCTCAACAATTGCCCACCAGGAATCGAACTCGTGACCTTGGCTCGATACCAATTGTTAGGATCGAGCGCTTACCACTAGGCCAAAAGCTATAGCCATTAGTCAGAGCGCAACTCTTTTTACTTTAACAGCCCAAGCGCCACGATTCAATTGTGACTCGGCCCACTGACCTTCGTCACAGGACAATTGATGCTACCCGCAACAATTGTCCTGTGACGAAGGTCAGTGGGCCGAGTCACAATTGAATCGTGGCGCTGAGCTGTTAAAGTAAAAAAGAGTTGCGCTCCGACTAATGGCTATAGCTTTTGGCCTAGTGGTAAGCGCTCGATCCTAACAATTGGTATCAGAGCCAAGGTCACGAGTTCGATTCCTGGTGGGCAATTGTTGAGGGGAGATTGTTGCAGGTTGCACAATTGTCCCGTGGTAGAGGCCGGTGGGCCAAGTCACAATCCAAGAGTGGGATACCTTGTAGGACAATTGCTGAGGGGAGATTGTTGCAGTGTAGCATCAATTGTCCTGTGACGAAGGTCAGTGGGCCGAGTCACAATTGAATCGTGGCGCTTGGGTCGTTAAAGTAAAAAGAGTTGCGCTCCGACTAATGGCTATAGCTTTTGGCCTAGTGGTAAGCGCTCGATCCTAACAAATTAAAGACATCTCATCTACTACGGTCCCAAAATTGAAAAATTTCATTATTTTATAATAATCGGAAAACATTAAATATATTTACTTTAAGATAGTCCTTTTCCTACTTGATAATTTTTTTAAATAAATATTTAATCTCAATTTATAATTAAATTGCATTAATGCACTAAATAAAGAAATAAACTCAACTTAATTTAATTACCTTTGATTAAATTAAATTAAATATATTAAATTTGATTAAAAGTGAACTACTTTCACTCCTATTAAAAGATCGGGAAATGTTGGTATACCAAAACTTATCCCTAAACAAGGATGAAGGATATGATTCCCAAAACTTCACACACTTGAATTATCCTAGAGTAATTAGGTGTTGGATGCTACGTGTGTGTGTGTGTTTTTTTTACCTACTTCAATAAAATAATATTTCAAAAGTTAGTTACAAATCTTATAATTAATGAATTTAAACAAATTATAAAGATGATTTGAGATTAATTATGATTCTTGATAAAATATTTGTTATCTTTTATTAACAGAAAATGGGATTTACAAGAGCATCCTAATCATAATAAGTCTAATTCATTCTTTTTTAATATCATGTTATTTAATATTGACTTGAGCATCAAAGTGTCTTTTGTAAATAAGTCTCCTTTCCACACTCAAATACTAAGAAGAAACAATTTGACTTCATCAATAGATAATTTTCCAACCTTATCTAAAGTTTAACCAAACTCACTTTATTCGAAAAAAATATTTGACACTAAAAGTCAAACCATATCCAATTTAACCTATGAAGAGATGAAAATCCTTCCTCTGTTGTTAATAGTCTCAAAAAATATATAAAAGAAATTTACAACAAAATCATGAGGACATCAAACATCTACATTAACAAAATGATGAGAAGTTGTTGATAATCCATAAGAAGGAATATAGGATTTCAAATACATCTAACACCAAGATCAAATCGAGTTCCAATATTTGCAAGATGAACTTAAAATCCTTAGACAACCATGAATAAGAAAAAAAAAATTTAATGCATCTGGTCGTACAGATCCACAAATGGAAGATATTGTCGCATCCAATCAAACACCAATCCAATGTTATTGGTGCTAACTATAAAGATTCTATAAAAAATGAGATATCACTATACCCAAAGAGTTGATTGCATTACTAGTACCAAATTGTTAATAAAAACCTTCAAAGTCATTTCAAAGGAAAGAAATAGTTAAAAAAAGGAAATCATTATTATATGCTCCCTCCCCCATGGACAACTAAACATTCTCAGTAAATCACTACTAATAGGACATTTGTGAAGAGGATGATGACCACCTTTTATTATGGGGATTATGGAGACACCTTTCTCACCAAATTAGAAGCAACTAAACCTTCAAAACTATAATGGCTCAACCAACCCTGATGAGCATTTAAAGATGTATAAACAAATAGGTAAACTTCTACACCATTAGCGAAGCCATTTTATGCCAAGCTTTTACCACAAATATACAAGGACTAATATTGCAATGGTATTACACTCTATCTTACAACTCTATTGATTCATATTGCACTATAGTCGCAAGATTTTGAGTTTGTTTTGTGGTCGGTTCTTTGCATGTTGCCACATTTGTGGCCTTGGAAAATGTTAAACAAGGAGAAGGTGAAACACACCATAGTTTCATGCACAAATATGCAAGAGCATCTAATACAATACCTAATCTCAACCCTCATGTAGCCTTACATCCAATGTTTACCACCTTAAGACTTGATTCTATTTTGGGTAGTATGTTTATTCATCCTCCATGAAATATTGACGAATTATGTGCCCTAGAAAAAATTATATTCAAATGGAGGATAAAAAAATTATGTTAAAAAAAATATTGGCCCCTTCCACTTCTCAGGCATATATTCCAATCATAAATTAAAAAAAAAACCAACAAATTAAAACAATACACCCCTAACACAAGAAGAGATCATCATTCAAGATGCATTTAACCTATAACTTTTTCCCATTTCATCTCCTCTACTATCCCTAACCAATGTCGATACCATTAAATATTATTGATATCATCAAAATGATGGCCACATTACTATCCAATGACAAAGGATTAAAAACATAATCAAAGAGTTTGCCTCATGTGTGCCTTTCAAAATAATACCAAAGTTGAGGAAAAGAAGGCTATTAAGGACAAGTTTGGGGAGGACAATGAGGTTATCAAGGATCGGAGGAGGGGAAATCAACAATATATTTTCCTTACCAACCTAAAACATAACTAGGTTGGTTAACACTAAGTCCAACAAGTGCAAAATAAGTACAAAAAGATACAAAAACTCCACTTAATGTGTATGGAGTCATAAACACTATAGCAAAAGGCTTCACTAGATTTAGATACTTATATTCAACACAAAAGTAACATTTATGGGCCATGTGTAATGTCAATAGCATGACATCCTTTTCTAAAAACACTCAACCATCAATTACTTGTTGTGATGAGGATTTTATTAGTCATGATTCATTACAAGATGATCTTGTTATTATCACTATACTAATGGTCAATTGGGATGTCAAGAAAATTCTCATTAATCAGGGAGGCTTAACCAATGTATTGTATTGGTCTGTGTTCTTAAAGCTCAATTTACCTTTCAATTTCATCAAACCCTATTTGGAGCCATACTTGGATTCACACGAATATGAGTATGTTGATAAGTGTGATATAAACTTACTTTATCAATTTACTAGGGACTCTTTATTATATTCATATCATACATCTTCTTCCATTTATGTTAAAAATAATTTTAATTTTTGTTTAGAGTAGTTAGAAGTACATGAACAAATTACCACTTTTATTTTGTGTAATTTTTGAAAGAATTGGAACCTAAAAGTAAAAAAAAATGGAGCTTCATGAATAAGAGTCACCACTTAGGGACCATACGCGTCACTCAAAGAAAAGCATGTGCAAGAAGATAAGCCAGCATACCAATTTCATCTTGGTTTCAATATTTTCTTATATGTTTAGTGTTGAAAATACAAGGATATGATGACTAAATATTTTGATGATGATTCAATAACAAAAGACTTCAAGATTAGAAGACTTATATTCATTTGAAATTGCTTGTAATAACTCTATTTTGTCATCTTGAGTATGTAAAAATAGAGTCCACGATAGCCAGCACTTAATCTGTCCACAAAAGCTTCATTTTTATCAAGGACACACTTGAATAATTGATTATTGTTGTGAATAATCAATTATCCTGTTTAAACTTCAAGTTTTCTGAAAGTGGCTCTGTGATAATCGATTATCACTGATGATAATCGATTATCTCTGGCTATTAAGGGTTCAAATTCGAAATTAGTTCTGTAATAATTGATTATCACTGATGATAATTGATTATCTGTGTCAGTTATGAATTTAATTTTCAAATTTCTGACCTAATTTTCGGAAATCCCTAAATTTGGAAACCCTAAAACTCTATTTAAAGAACTCCCATGCTCTTTTCAAAAAGACAAACCTTTTTCATACTAAAAAAAAGTTAAGAGTTGTGATTGTTGGGAGAACTTTGAGTAAGGAAGAAAAAGAGGCTTTCAAAACCTAGTGTGGGCTAGAAGCGATAAGAATCATTGAGTGGGATTCTCAGTGGATTAAGTGTTGTGCCATCTCTAGGAAAATTGTCTTCATCCTTTGTGGCTTCAAAGGAAGTGTTCATCTCTTGTGTGACTCAAGAGAAGTGTTTTCTAATCCTTATTTATTTGTAATCTGTTTATTTGAGAACCATTATTTTAGTGACTGAATTAAACCTCTTTTAGAGTTATTAAGAACTAGATGTAGGGTCTTTTGATCCGAACCAGTATAAATTATTGTGTAATCTTCTTTCCTTGTCTTTTTACTTTTCAAGTACTCTATTATATTATTGTTTAATTGGTAAAATCTTGCGAAAAGTTTTTTAAAGGGATAATTTTTATAAGAAACCAATTCACCCCCCTCTTGGTTTTTGTCTTAACGCAAACATTCTGCTGCGCGATACCAACAAGTGGTATCAGAACTTGCTTTGATAATTTTTCAAATTTTCAAAAATGGCCGGACAAAACAAAACTTTTGTTGAGGGTGCCTCTATTAACAGACTTCCACTTTTTGCTGTTCAAAATTATCCTTTATGGAAAGTTAGGATGCAAATATTTTTGGATTTTGTTGACAGGGGCGTTTGGGAAGCTGTTGTAAATGGTCCTTTTATTCTTAAAATGATTGTAAATGAAGTAGAGGAACCAAAACCATTTTCTAGATGGACTGCTAAAGAAAATAGAAAGGCCCAATATGATGTTAGAGCTAGAAACATTATTTCATCTGCTTTGACCCTTGATGATTTTTACAGGATATCTGTATGTAAAAATGGTCAAGAGATGTGGGAAATACTAAGTGTGACTCATGAAGGAACCGACGATGTGAAAAGAGCAAGAAAGAACTCCTTGATTCAAGAATATGAAATGTTTAGAATACAACAAGGAGAAACAATTTTTGACATCCAAAAGCGTTTCACACACATTGTGAACCATCTCTCTGAGCTTGGTAAGAATTTTGATATTGATGAATTGAATGTTAAAATACTAAAATCTTTGGACAAAAAATGGCAACCTAAGATGATTGTCATCACAGAGTCACAAAATCTTGCAACTATGACTATGGCGGCTCTCTTTGGAAAATTGAGAGAGCCCGAACTTGAATTAGGAAGGCTGAATGATGAGGAAGGCCAAAATATCAAGAGAAACTTAGCTTTTAAGATTGAGGTCTCAAAAAGCAAGAATAAGAAGGAAGAAGAAGATTTTGAAAATGAAGAAGATGAGAACTTAAGTCTCATGATCAAGAAGTTCATAAAGTTCATGAAATCAAAAGGAAAGCATCCTTTCAAAAGCAAGAGGAAAGAAAAAGAAAAATCTTCACCAAACTTCAAATGCTATGGATGTGGTGAAACAGGACATGTGAAAGCAGATTGTCCTAACAATAAAAGAAGTGATGAATCAAAAAGAAGAAAATCCTTTAAAAAGAAATGTTACATTGCGTGGGAGGAAAGTGACTCTAGTTCTGAGTCAAGTGATTTTGATGTTGAAACAAACATTTGTTTAGTGGCAAACAACAGTTTTTCTTCCGACTGTGAGGTAAGTGATTCTAACTATTCTTCCAGTGAAAGTGAAAATGATTATGATGCCTTACATAATGCATATGAAGAATTGTTTACTACTTTTAAACATTTGAAATCAGAACATAAAACTTTGAAAAAGAGTTTGATTAAATAAAAAAAGGAAGTAGAATCTTTAAAAACAAAAATTGTATCTTTTAAAGAAAAAGAAGTTGAACCCAAAGAATGTGCATCATGTAAGAGCTATGAATTTGACATATGCATACTTGAGCATTTACTATAAAAAGCAACAAAAGATGTGATTGATGATAAAAACAATGAAAATCAAAATTTTGTGGAAACTAAAGTCAATAGTCATGTTCCTTTGAAAATATCTAAAAATCAAAGAACTCGAAGAGTATGGGTTGTGAAAGGAACTATACCTCCACAAAATAAAGTTAAATATTTTTCAAAAATAAAATCCCCAAATGCATGTTTTTATTGTATGAAATAGGGACATATTTCTAATAAATGTAGAATTAAGACTTTTGGTGTTCCTAAAGGAAAATATATTTGGGTACCTATAGTTAAATAATTTAATTGTCTCTAACCCCAAGGACACAAAAGTTATGGGGACCTAAGATCTTGTGTTCTTATTTTGTGTATCTGCTAAATCCAAGAAGTTTATGTGGTACCTTGACATTGGTTGTTCAAGACACATGACTAGTGATAGAAAGAAATTTGTAAATTTCAAAGAGAAAGAACAAGGATATGTAACTTATGGAGACAACAATAAAGGCAAAATCCTTGGAACTGGAAACATTGGTGATACAAATACTTTGGAGATAAAGGATGTGCTCCTCGTTGATGGACTAAAGCATAATCTTCTCAATATAAGTCAGTTTTATGATAAAGGACTTAAGGTAATTTTTGAAAGCAATTACTGCACCATACATCTTAAGGACTATAAAGAAATTGCATTAAAAGGTATTAGACATAACAATATTTATTTGATTGATTTGGATTGTGCATCTAATGTTGATATAACATGCTTGGTTGTTAAAGAAGAAAACCCTTGGTTGTGGCATAAAAGAGCAGTCATATTCATATGCATCAATTAAACAAATTAATCTTTAGAGACTTAGTTGTTGGTTTGCCTAAGTTAAAATTTGAAAAAGATAAATTATGTGATGCATGTAAAAAAGGTAAACAAGTAAAATCATCTTTTAAAACTAAGAACATAGTTTCAACTTCAAATCCTTTAGAACTTTTACATTTAGATCTTTTTGGACCATCTAGAATTAAAAGCTTTGGAGAAAATTATTATGCTCTTGTGATTGTTGATGACTTCTCTAGATTTACTTGGACATTTTTCTTAACTTTGAAAAGTGAAGCCTTTAAGGTTTTTAGAAAGTTTGCAACACAAATTCAAAATGAAAAAGAGTTAAGAATTAAAGTGTTAAGAAGTGATCATGGTAGAGAATTTTAAAATGAGTCTTTTGAAAAATTTTGTGAAGAAAATAGTATTTTACATAATTTTTCTGCACCTAGAACTCCCCAACAAAATGGTGTAGTAGAAAGGAAAAATAGATCCTTAGATGAACTAGCTAGAACTATGTTGAATGAATCAAAAGTTCCTAAATACTTTTTGGAAAATGATGTAAGTACTGCATGTTATGTTTTAATTAGAATTCTCATTAGACCTATAATAAAAATGACTCCTTATGAGCTATTTAAAGGGAGAAAACCAAATGTAGGCCATTTGAAAATCTTTGGTTGTAAATGTTTTGTATTAAATAATGGTAAAGATAACCTAGGTAAATTTGATTTCAAAGTCGATGAGGCTATCTTCTTAGGCTATTCTCTTACTAGTAAAATATATAGGGTATTTAATAGAAGAACATTAAAAATAGAAGAATCTGTCCATCTTACTTTTGATGAAATTGTAGACCTTGAGAAAAATCTTCTTGAGTCAAGAAAAGAAAATGTAGGTGCTAAAGAGTATCTTAAGGAAGCATTAGAAGAAATGTACTTAAAAGAAAATGAATCATCTCAACCATCCGAGTTAGCAAAAGAATGACAATCACCAAGAGGACTATCACTTGACAACATAATTGGTGATATTTCAAAAGGGGTAAGTATTAGAAATATGTATAATTTCTGTATGACTGTAGCTTTTGTCTCACAAATAGAACCCAAGAATGTTGAGGAAGCCCTCAAGGATGATCAATGGTGTATTGCAATGCAAGAAGAATTAAATCAGGTTGAAAGAAATCAAGTCTGGGAACTAATTCCAAGAGAAGAACATCATCAAGTAATTGGAACTAAATGGGTATTTAGGAACAATCTTGATGAAGATTGAAATATAACTAAGAATAAAGCTAGAATTGTAGCAAAAAGATATTGTCAAGAGGAAGGTATAGATTATGATGAGACATATGCTTCTGTTTCCAAGTTAGAGGCTATACGCTTACTTCTTGCTTATGCCTCAATGATGAAATTTAAACTATATCAAATGGATGTGAAAAGTGTTTTTCTAAATGGTTTTATTAAAGAAGATGTATATGTGCAACAACCTCTGGGTTTTGAAGATTTCAAATACCCTGATCATATTTTTAAATTGAAAAAGGAACTTTATGGATTAAAACAAGTTCATAGATCATGGTATGAAAGGTTAAATAGTTTTCGATTAGTAAATGACTTTTTTAGAGAAAAAATTGACTCAACTTTGTTTATTAAGAAAGTAGGTGAACATATTTTATTAGTTCAGGTATATGTTGATGATATTATTTTTGGATCTACTGATAACTCTCTATGTGTAAGTATTATGCATAATGAATTTGAAATGTCCATGATGGGGGAATTAACCTTTTTCCTTGGACTTCAAATTAAGCAATTTAAAGAAGGCACATTTGTGTCTCAAACAAAGTACTGCAAGGAGATTCTCAAGAAGTTTGGATGGATACTACAAAAGAAGCTAACACACCAATGGGAACGTCCTGCTATTTGGATAAGGACGAATCAGGTTTGGAAATAAATCAATCTATGTATAGAGGTATTATAGGTTTTCTATTATACTTACTACAAGTAGGCCTGATATTATGTAATATGTCTGTGTGTGTGCTAGATTCCAGGCTTGTCCAAAAGAATCTCACTTAACTGCAGTAAAAATAATTTTAAAATATCTTAAAGGAACCACAGGTTTTGGGTTATGCTATCCTTCTAGTGCTTCACCTAGCTTAATAGGTTTTTCTGATGCTGATTATGGGGGTCATAAGATTGATAGAAAGAGTACTAGTGGAACTTGTCATCTATTAGGATCTTCCTTAGTTTCCTGGCACTCTAAGAAACAAGCATGTGTTTCTTTATCCACTACTGAAGCCGAATATATAGCGGTTGGAAATTGTTATGCTCAAATCCTTTGGATGAAGCAACAGTTAGAAGATTATGATATCTTTCTTAGTGACATTCCTCTGAAATGTGATAATACAAGTGTAATTAATCTTACTAAAAATCCTATTATGCATTCCAGAACTAAGCACATTGAGATTAGACATCATTTCTTAAGAGATCATATTAGTAAGGGAAATTGTAAGATAGAATACATTGATACAAAACATCAATTAGCATATATATTCACAAAACATCTTCCCAAAGATAGATTCTATGAACTTAGGAGAGACTTAAAAATATTAGAAATATCTTAACTTTTGCAAAAAAATTGTAAATTCTCAAATTTTATTCTGGAATAATCGATTTTCTCAGGTGATAATCGATTATCCCGTGTTTTATAAATCTTCATAATTGCAAACCTTTGTAGAATAATCGATTATCAAGGGCTATAATCAATTATTCCGTGTCATACATCCTGTAAATTGCAAAACTCTCTTAGTCGATTATCTTAGGTGATAATCAATTATCCATGCATTCTGAAAATTTTGGGCAGTTGATTAGCAAATAATCGATTATCAAATAATCGATTATCACCTATTGATAATCGATTATCTCACGACGTTTTTGAAAAACTAGTCATTGGCAACGAATCTCCTTGCCTTGATTCTTGCATTTATAGTCGTTTATAGTCATTGGAAGTGTTCTCTACTTATATAGGGACTCAGAAACTCATTTCACTCACATCTTGCCTCTCTTCCAAGTGTTTTGCTTTGATCTCAAGCTCCATTTTTGTATCTCTTGAGTTCTTACCTTTCCATTCTCTCTTAAAATTCTCGGCTTTCCTTATTAAAAATAACTGAATCATCAAGAAGAAAGATCCCAACCAGGAGAAGATCTACTCTTGCGTCTCAACCCTGTCCCAATTCTATTGAAGGATGAATCTCCAATAATGAAGGGATACAAGAATTTCTTACATTTTGGAAATAAAAGAATATTATTACTCCAAAATTCTTAAAAGGATTTTAGTTTCTTGATCGGGGTTTCCGCTTCCCAACTCTTCTTGAACAACAAGGTATCTTACCCTTCGTTGAGATGGAAGGCACTTTCTATCCTGATTTGATACGTGTCTTTTACTCTCAGTTCAAAATAAGAGACAATGTTGCTACTACCTGTGTCAAAGGCATAACCATCATCCTTGATGATGACATATGGGAGAATGTAGCAAGATTTTCTATCCGTGATGACACAATCAATGTGTTGATGGACATAGATGACTTTGACCGGATCATGGCATACCATTCTTTTTCTATGTAATCCTGCTCTACAGATTGGGCGTTAACTTCTTGCCGGACCATTAAAGAAAGATGAATGTCTGCTTCTTCATCTCATTGTTTGGATCCTTTGTCCCCAAGCCACCAATCATGTTCAATGCTCTGTCGTTGATCTTTGCATCATCCATGCGATTATGAACAATGAGCCTATTGATTGGCCAAGTCTCATCATTTCCACTATGCTCAAAGTCAAGCGTCATCCTACATTCAAAATTCCCTATGCACTCCTCATCTCCAGAATCCTTGAATACAAAGGAGTCAATCTTGAAGGAGAACAAAGGTTCCACACATTGAATTCAAATTGCATGCTTGATAATACACTATCTCAACTACAAATGGTCAACGTTGGTGGAATTTATTTTCATAAGGATGATGCGCCAAATGTCGCTGCTGTTGTTGCTGATTCTGATTATGCTGAGATGAATATTGTTGATGCTCCTATTGGAGGGACTTCATCTGGTACCCATACTGAAGTCCGCCCCTCCCTTGAAGACATGGTTTCTAACATGAACCAACAGATGCAGAATTTCTTCTCCATCTCAGAAAGACGGCATCAAGAGATCGTGGGTCTCATTTCAGATGTAGATTCACATGTATCATCTCTTGAATACAAATTTGATTTAGAATTTGGATATGATTCTCAGAGTGATGAATTTTGAAAATATTATGTAATCAATTTAGCTCTCTCTTAATATATATATTGTGTACTGCTTTGATATCTTAAATAAATATTCATATATTTGAATTCTTCAGGGGGAGTCCATTATTTTCTAGCATTAATTCAGGGGGAGCTTCTGTTTATATTTACTGCTCAGTTCTTTTTTTTTATGATCAAAAAGGGGGAGAATATATTAAAGCATGGTATGTTTATTTTTTTTTATGATTGTTGTGACAGAAAATAGGTTATTACAAAGAAGCTTTAAAGCAGATTTTAATCATCATAAAAAAAGGGGAGATTGTTGAAAATACAAGGATATGATGACTAAATATTTTAATGATGATTCAAGAATAAAAGACTTCAAGATTAGAAGACTTATATTCATTTGAAATTGCTTGTAGTAACTTTGTTTTGTCATCCTGAGTCTGTAAAAATAGAGTCAACGATAGCCAACACTTAGTCTATCCACAAAAGCTTCATTTTTATCAAGGACACACTGGAATAATAGATTATTGCTGTGAATAATCGATTATCCTATTTAAACTTCAAGTTTTCTGAAAGTGGCTCTGTGATAATCGATTATCACTGATGATAATCGATTATCCTAGATAAAATTGGTTTTACTATTTCTGGCTTTGTGATAATCGATTATCACTGATGATAATCGATTATCTATGTCAGTTATGAATTTAAATTTTGAATTTCTGACCTAATTTTCAAAAATTCCTAAATTTGAAAACCCTAAAACTCTATTTAAAGAACCCTCATGCTCTCTGCGAAAAGACAAACATTTTTCATACTAAAAAAAGTTAAGAGTTGTGATTGTTGGGAGAACTTTGAGTAGGGAAGAAAAATGGGCTTTGAAAACCTAGTGTGGGCTAGAAGCGATAAGAATCATTGAGTGAGATTCTTAGTGGATTGAGTGTTGTGCTGTCTCTAGGAAAATTGTCTTCATCCTTTGTGGTTTCAAAGGAGGTATTCATCTCTTGTGTGACTCAAGATAGTGTTTTCTAATCCTTGTTTATTTGTAATCTGTTTACTTGAGAACCATTATTTTAGTGACTGAGTTAATCCTCTTTTAGAGTGATTAACAACTGGACGTAGGGTATTTTGATCTAAACCAGTATAAATTACTGTGTAATCTTCTTTTCTTATCTCTTTACTTTTCAAGTACTCTATTATTTTATCGTTTAATCGGTAAAATCTTTTACGAAAAGTTTTTTAAAAGGGATAATTTTTATAAGAAACCAATTCACCATCCTCTTAGTCTTTGTCTTAACACAAACATTCCGTTACGCGATACCAATAAATCTTTATTTCTATGTCTTGATCGATCTATCACTCTATGTATTAGGACCAATTCTATGTATTAGGACCAATTGGTGTCCTACCAAGCTAATATTTGATTTTTAGATAATTAACCTTTAGAACCATAATTTCTGTAAAAATAAACAAAGATAAAGATTACCACCAAGTACTAAAGATGTATGGATAACAAGAGCAAATTCTTCCTTCAAATCATACTTAGCTAAGACGAACACGCCTGCTATGTATTGTACTGGACCTTCGACCAGGCATTCTACCGTTGTCGAATCAGAACCAACCACCACTATATTACTCTTGAATAGTTGAGCAGCCGTCGGCCAGCAACTTCCGTACTGTACACAAATATAGATTAGATTCATTCTTTGTACCTGGTCCAACTATGAGAATAATGATTATTCCCTTCCAATTAATAAGACAAGGTAATATCTTGGTAAACTCAATATCCTTCTATTGTCTATAGTAAGGAAGTACTCAACCCAAGATTTAAATTTTAAAGGAACTTGTCGCTAGTATGAGAGAAAGTGCAGGGTATTATTTGGATAGTAGCACAATCTATTTGAATAATTAGATGAGAAGTATTTAACTCATAAAAAATTACTCTTCAATTTTTTGAAAGCCTGAGTACATGTTAACAAAATAAAATAAAATTGAGTTTTAGTTAAAGGAATCATAATACCCTACTTTAATTGGTAAATATACATAAACTTGTTGATAATAGGTTTGATATCAAGGAAAATATATAAAGAAATTGAAACATTATTAACACATTTTAACTTTGTGTATGAGTCACATTAAGCTCAGAGAACATCTTACATTCAAAATCATTAGATGTAAAAGAAATATCCAAGCCTTTCAACCATCGTTTATACGTAAATATAAAATCATCATTAGATATAATGGTTTTATGTAAATTCTATTCGAAGATGAACATTTTTCTACTACCATAAGATCACAATCTTCTTTCTTGACCACTAATATTTTGGTAACAAGCTTAAAATAGACACTATCACTAGTGCAAAAAGGGGCTTTTACGTCAGGTATTTAGGGCTTTTTACGTCGTATTTAAGTTCGACGTTAAAGCGGGAGACGTAAATTTACGTCAGACCCTTTTGCCCGACGTAGATTTACGTCAGCTATCCAGATCCGACGTAGATTTACGTCAGTTATCCAGATCCGACGTAGATTTACACTAAACAGACGTAAAAACCTTTTCAATTTAAAAAAAAAATAGAAATTTTACGTCGCATATGGTATACGCGACATAAATTTACGTCGCATATACCAATACGCGACGTAAATTTACGTCGCATATACCAATACGCGACGTAAATTTACGTCGCATATACCAATATGCGACGTAAATTTATTATTTTTTTTTTTTTAATTGGGTTTATTTATTCTGTTTTACAACTAAAACCTGCAAATATTACAACCAGACAGATCCGGATGTTTAGTTTTCTTTAGCTAGTAAATTAAAAATATAATATTATATAATTCAAACTACATAATAAAACAATATAATACAAACATACAAACTAAAAAATCTATTACAAACTAAGCTACCTATACAAACTAAGCTACCTATACAAACTAAGCTAAACTACATAATACACACAATATAATATGAACAAGAACTTAAAAAATAATGTACTAGAATTGTTGAACAAAAAATTTTACCCATTGTTCTCTAATTTACGTAATCTCGGATTCTGGTAATGGAGATGGATCTTGAAATACCCGAAACATGAATTTGACTCTTGTAAGCATGCAACATGAATAAAGTTAAATAAACTTAACTAATGTTAAAAGTAATTACCTCCGTCCAAGAATCAATTAAACCCGCACAAACTATGGCTCTCATCCAATACATTACATAATAACCACATTCAAACGAGTCAGTTTGCTTATTACATCGAAATGATGAAAAAAACATAATATTATTTTCAAAATTGAAATACAAACAATAATTATGGTATTCACTTATATAAATAAGTTTCTAACCTTAGGATAAATGAACTGCAAAGTCTTTGTTCTAGGTTTTCCACTTAGAACATTAGTTCCGAGACACGATTCTAAGTGAAAAAAAGTCATATATTATTCAATATGTATTCACAATTTAAAAACATAATTAATGAATAAAAGATAAAGTTACCCTTGTAATAAGCTTTTCATTTCTTGACTCGGTTTCCGATGTAATGAACAAAACCACACCACAGTGTAATCCCGGGGCATGATTACAATTAACCGCCAATGGGACCTACATTGTATGACATAAAAATTAGTTACAAAAATATAAATTAAAATACAAATTAAAATACTAACCCTTCAATGTATGGAGCCAAATATACATGTCTTCTTGAGTCACTCATCCATGTTTGCATATATTGTTGGATTCCAACCTTTGTATTTCCAGATTTTTGGATGGATTGAGGCTCAATAAATCCGTATACTTCGGATTTTTCTTGTTCCACACTCAAATTGTCAAGGTACCTAAAACAATTAATTATAAGTTGAATATAATTATTATAATCTTAGAAACATAAATGAAAATGACTTACATTGCCCACAATTGTATGATGGAAATGTTTAACATGCAATTTTCCCAGACAATTTCTAAAGCATCGGGCAAGGAAATGTACAATGGAACACCTGGAATTGTCAATTCCAAACACTCTAACATCCCATTGTATCCGACACGGTCTCTTCCTCAACCGTGGTAATACGGCTAACAACATAGAGATGGGATCATCATCACATTCGTCGAGATCCTCATCAATAATAGGTTGTTTTTTATGCTTAGCACGACGCAAGTCCTCCTAAACAAATGATAACAATTAATTAAACATTTATATAATTATAATACTAGAAAAGAGTAAAAAGCTAAGGCTTTTTACGTCGTGCCCCCAAGCACGCGACGTAAAAGTCCATCTTTTACGCCGCGCCACCCAGGTGCGACGTAAAAGAGGCTTTTTACGTCGCATACTGGGATGTGCGACGTAAAATTTAAGTCTCATATTTACAAAATTGCCACCGCGTTTTATTTACGTCGAATATACATGCATGCGACGACAATTGGATGACGTAAAAGCCCTATTCTGCACTAGTGTATGTTAAGGACTGAAAGGTATAAGCCTCGACAACCCAAAACATCCAACTATACTTAAAAAAAAAAAAAAAAAAGTGAAACGAGAATATTTATCTTTTTTATTCTCTTTATTAGTTATGATAAATTTAGTAGTTGAAGGAAATAATGAAAAAACTTTCCTTTTATTCTTATGCAAATAATCTTTCACGTTGTTTCTAAAACAAGGGTAAAATGAACTTTTTGCAATGCCTTTAGTAGAGTTACGCACTAGAACACTTTTAATAGACATAAAAACAATGATATTTTCTATTTCCTTTAAACTACTCTCCTATTCATAAAATCTTGAGTTCCAACAAAGAAGTTATACGACCACTCATGCTACTAGTTCAAATAGAAGTAGCAAAACAAAATCACTATGGTTGTACAGGGAGTCGAAGAAATGACAACAAAAGTCAAAGGAATGACAACAATAGGATGGAAAATGAAGCATTTTAAACTAAATAGTACCTTTCTTATTCTATATGCATGAGATGCATTTAGAAAAGAAAACAAAATAAACAACGAATAATACTTTCAATAACATACTTGATACAAAATCTTAAACTTGTTTAACCTCATCTTGCCTAAATATTAATTTATAGTTCAGTAACATAATTTATGCTAAAACATAAATTCATTTGATTTTAAAGCTTGCATGAGACATAAAATTCAATCTTCAAGTTTGGAGACTTGTATACCTACTTGAAAACGATAATATCTTCTTGATAAATGCTAACGGTAAATCTTAGTTATTTAATCTAAACAAATTATAAAAACTATTTGAGATCAATTATCATTCTTGATGCACCACTGTTTATCTTTTATCAATAGAAAATAAACCTCTTAAGAGTATCCTACTAAAAAAAATATCACATAATCTCGTATTACTACAAAATATTCCATAATAACTTGAGTATTAAAACATATTTATTAGTAAATCTTCTTTTTTATAAATTATTCAACCTTATCAATAAATTATTTGTCAATTTATTAAACTTTGTAAAATTCAAATTTTGTAAAAACAATTATCATTTAAAAGGGTAATATATGAAAGTAATGAAGATCTTATTAAACCGTGTAATATATTAAAGATTTTAATGATTTGATGAAGTCAAAGACTACTTGAGTTAAAGGGTATAGTGATTAGTGAGTCAAGCATCAATATTAATAAGTATAATCATTCATATCTCTCTACTACATGAGGATTATTCATTTTAGAAGAATTTGAAAATGCCTCTTAAAAAAAATTATCTCGTTAAAAAATGAATTAATCGGTTAATATGTGCCTAAGAAATAGTTTTTAACTGATATTCTTTAAGGTTAATTGATTAAAATAAACTAGAAACATTCCTGACAGTATTTTAACTTATATAACTTCTAATTAATCGATTAAAATCACTTAAAAAGTTTTGAAAAATATTCTATCAAGTATTTTAATCGATATAACTTCAAATTAATTTATTAAAACCACTTGAAATGTTTTGAAAAGTGTTATGTCGAGTATTTTTAAGCTGATATAACTTCGAATTAATCGATTAAAATAACTTAAGAAGTTCGAAAAATGTTTTGCCGAATTTTAATAGATATAACTTAAATTAATCGATTAAAACAGACTTAAGGAAACTTTTGTCAAATGTTTTAATCGATTAAATCAGGCTTTCATTAGTTGAAATCACTTATGAAGTTTTGAGAAAATGTTTGGCAAAATTATAATCGATTAAAACCCGAATTAATCGATTAAAACAACTTAGAGAATTTTTGTTTAACTGTTTTAATCGATTAAAACATCGTCACATCAGTTAAAATAAATCTGGAAAATGATTAAGCACATTTTAACCGATTAAAAGAAGAATTAATCGATTAATCAAGATTTAATAATCGATTAAAATAAAGTTTTAACCAATTAATTAAACCAACAATTGAAAAATAACTCTATATAATCAGGTTTGCTTCAGCATTTTAAAAGATATATTTGAGTAATTAATCAATCAATCATTAGAGAAGTTTTTCAAGAAAGAAGCGCGTCACGTTTGTGAAGTTTTTCAAAGTTCCTTCTTGAGGAATTTTTACATTTTTACTTGTGAAGAAACTCATTCTGCAAGAGTTGCATAATCCGGGTTTGATTGTTCTAGTTTCTTTTCTTTGTTCTTTTCATTTCTTTACTGTATTATGGGTGTCTGGAAGTGTTGGGCACTGGTTCTGTAGCTG